AGGGGAGGAGAATCCAGCCTTGGCGTGATTGCTTTTACATGGGAAACGCCTTTAAAATATCTTGATAACCAAAACTGCCCTCAAAACCAGAAATCCAGTCCGAACCAAAGCATTATATTTTAAGAATTAAGTCTCAGCTTGGCAGTTCTTGCAGTTGCTGAAAATGCAAGGTTGTGATAAACTTTGCTTGCTTGGAAAATAAATGGTTAGAACAGTCTTAGTCACTTATTGTATATTGTTTTATGTTTCTTTGATAGAACTGCTATTTAAGCTATGGAAAAGGCTAGATCACTAGGTTTTTTCCGTGTTTTTACATTTTGTTTTTGTTCACGCAGGAGCTGAGCCAATGACTCTTGGTTCCCCGACATCTCCAAAACCAGGAGCTAGTGCTCAGTTTCTTCCTGGGTTCTTGATGGGTGACTTACCTGCGCCAGTGACTCCACAACCACGTGCTTTAAGCGGCCCTTCAGTTGGTGTGATGGAAATGAGGTCTCCACTACTTGCAGGTCAGAACTTGTTAAATGCTGAAAAATTGTCCTGAAAGTAAAAACGTGGTATGTCTTATTGCTTTGTGTGACTGTTGCAGACTTGAATTCTTGTAGTTTTATAACTTGCTCTAAACAAACTCAACTCATTGACATGGTGAACTCAAGTGTATTCAGTGGAGTTTGGCTACATTTGTCAAAGTAGACTTAAGGTTAATAAATGTTTTAAACATGGCAGTTTTGGTAGCAGGGAAGGTTGCTTTTATAGGGGAAGTAATTTGCACCTCTCCTAATATAAAATCAACTTATATAACTCTTTACAAGTCAGTTGCACATACGGTCATCAGTGTTTTCTTTGTTTGAGACAGAGATGTCTGCTGGCAAACTAAATGCCAGCTGGTGATTTCTCTGCAACTGATGCTAAAAAAAAAATCACAGATTGTAAGACTTCTAAAAACTGGATGGAGAAAAACTAAAAAATACTCCTTGATTACTGTCTAACAGTTATATTTACAGTCCAGATGTCTGCTGTATTTGGGCTCGAGTAGTGACTTTTCCCAGCTGTAGATGCTCATCTCTTTCCAACCACCTAATTGATCTGACTAGAAGGTCCTTACCTATGTTTCCAAAATGGTGGTATTATATGTCTGTTTTCTTCTCTGAGAAGTATGAATGAGTAGTTAACAGCTTCATTGATTTAGTTCATATCATGGGTGATATTGGCTTTTCTATTAAATAAGTTAGTGTAATTAAATATTTGGTGCTAGTGTGCTAGTCATTTTGAAGGAGAAATTGAGGAATAAAGTACTGCAAGATAATTTTAGATATTCTTTTCTTCTGATTTCAAGCACAATTGGACTTGATAATCCTTATGGGTCCCTTCCAACTTGAGATACTCTAAGATTGGTGGTCCGTTGGTCTCCAGTTTCTTGCTCTTGTCTTTCCTGCATCATGCAAGCCTCTGAGAAAAATATTATGAAATTGAAGTGTCATGTGAATTTCACCTAACTGTTTTTAAAAGGGTTTGTAACAGCCTCAGAGTATCAATATTAGAAAAGGGGGAATAAGTAAGATAACACAGGCCTCCCAAAATGACTGATTAAATATATTGCTTAAACTGAAAACCTTGATGGGAGAGTGCTTTATATAATGTGTATTTGTATAATACACTGTAATAGTTCTTGGATGTGTTAAACAGTTCAGAGAGGAGTCTTGAAGCTCAGAATTTAGGATTGAAAAGTACTTAGGAAAAGCTTAACTTTCAAATCTTTTGCAGGTGAAAACTGTTAAGTCAAACTACTTGTTCCTTCCCCCCCAACCCCTGGGGTAAACCCATGCAAAGTGTTCTGAGATATGTCAAGATCTTTTAGTCAGTTTAATTCTCTGTTATACTTGAAGTCCCAAAGTTTACAAAATGGGAGAGCAGCTGGCTTAACTTCATCCTGTCTGAATGCAAACCAGTTCCTGCTCTCAAGAGTTTACGTTTTTATTTAACATGAAATAATGTGGAAGGGAAAGGAATTTGCACAATGGGAATGTGACAGCATGTGCAATGTCTGTGTGCATTTTGGTATGGTTCTTCAGCATGTAGAATGTCTCAAGTCTTAAAAGCCTTGCTTTTGCCTCTCTGCTACAGGGAAGGTAGTATCTGAAACAACTAAAATACACTACTAACTTGCCTTAAAATGGGAGAATGTAGCTATGCTCAGAATGTCCTGAAAAGAGCAAGTGCATGTAAGTAGCGAATATACTGGGTTAATAAGAGGTCTAAAAGTTTTAGATGATACTTGTGTAAGGAGGCAGTTTCTGACACATGTGATGTTCTTGTGTGGAACATTCAAACCTGAACAGTTTGATAGGCCCTCAGTGAAACAATCAACAGTCTTTAATGGCTGAACTTACTGTTAAAGTTTCAAGAACAAGTAGTAGTGGAGTAAAATTACAAGTTTCTTGATGCTTTTCTTGTTTTCCTTTTAATTGCAGGAGGATCTCCCCCACAACCAGTAGTCCCTACGCATAAAGATAAAAGCGGTGCTCCACCAGTTAGAAGCATATATGATGAGTTATCTAGTCCTGGACTTGGATCAACACCTCTAACCTCAAGAAGACCAGTAAGTGCCTTAGCTACTGGCCAATTAGCAGAAGATGTGAGGTAGCTTACTGCTTCAGTGAATTCTTAACTCAGGTGTATAAACTGCTGTAGCAAAATGACTGGTGAGTTCTTCAGATCATGCTGTTGCTTAGTCTGGGTGTTTGGTGTACCTGTTCCTGTGTAGTCTAAATGAGAGCTGCAGCTCTTGAGCTGTCTCCTGTTGTTATTGATTGTTGATATTGTAGAGAATGACAAATGCAATTCATGCCTCTTGTTAGGCTTAGTACATGACAAATGAGGGCTTGTTGCAGCTTTTCACCTTCTTGTAAATTTATTTTGCTGATTGCCAGAAGGGTCTGAATATGCATTATCTTTCTCTTAGTGGGCAACAGAGATGCTTACTGAAACAGAAGGAATTTTGTGCTGAGTAAAATATCTAATCAAAATTTGGGCAGGGAGGCGGGGTTAATTCTGAAAGAGTAACAGTAAAATTTCTAGAAGGTCATTCTAGTAATAAGCTTTGCTACTTACCTCAACTGAGCAGTCAAGCGTTAGTAGGTTCTTTTCCAGTGAACGTGATTCTTTCGATGCAAGAACGCCTTTCACTCTTTATTGAGTGTCTTCTGAAAGTTCACATTGTCTGTGAAGGACAGAATCCAATACTGTCTTAAAGGACTGGATATTTAAAAAAAAAAAAGCTGCCATCAGAATGCATGTTGCTAGGTCTGCAGGTGCTTCAGTTTGATCTTGTATCTAAGAAATACCATGATTCTGGCTAAAAATACACCAAAATTGTTTTGGATATTGAAATCCTTCTATGTTAAAAAGAAAATAACTACTGGCAGCTAAAACTCAAAGTGTACTTGCCTTCAATGCAGTTGCACTAAGTAGTTGAGAGGGAAAGTAAGTCTAGAGATGAGGAATACGAGTGGGGATTATGCTCCCATGATTTCTAAGCCCTTTAGACAGTGAAAATCAGATGCTGGTAGCTTATGATACTGGCATCCTTTCCGTCAGGATGCACGTGAATGTGTGAATTATTATACTACAGCAATAGTGAGATATCTGTTTTGAAAAAGTTAACCTATAAGGTTTCTGAGTATTGATACCTAAAGTTACATGCTTTTACGAAGCATATGTGGTTGGTATTAGGTAACAGATTGTTCAGTTCCTGTTACCTAAAGCTCACCCTGAGCCTAAATAAGCTTTCTTCTACACCAGTAGCTCTTTCTTGTTAGATGATGAAACATTGTAGACAGACCCTGAATTCTGTTGCTTGTGGTGTTTCCCTTCTGTCCTTTGCTCTGCATTCCTGTACTATCTCTGATACTTGCATTTAAGCCTCTGATCAGCAAAGTTAACTGCATTCTCTTCTAAGGCTTAGTAATCAGCTGGAGAATGCAGGATGTTATAGTTGAGGCCTACTGGATGTCCAGGCTATCTGCTTATCTGTGTGCTAGAATGTAAAAACATTGTCAAATAACTCTTCATTAATAACTTCTAATAATCTTGTGTTAAATATACATGTAAATGTCTGTTCTTACTCCTAAAAGTTAGGAGTAATTTAAGGCAAACAGTTAATATTCTTACCTGGAGCTTAAGTTACCTGAAAATGATCTCTTCTCATCTGAGAAGTGTACTTGTAAGAATGATTTGTTACTTTCTGTATTTTAATGCAGGCCAGCTTTTCTCTAACACAGAGCCCGTTGGTTGGAACTATGCCATCAACTCCTGGAACAGGTAGATGTCCTGTCAAAATGTATAATCTATTTTCTTACAGCTTTCCTTAATACACAAAAATTATCACTGTTCAAGCTACATCAATTCCTTCCTGCTAACTTGCAAAGGAGTTGCATCTTTATGTACTAGCTTTTCAAAAGGTATGTGGATGTGAATGGGAAATACTTTTCCACTCTGAGACTGACTGAATTTCAGTCAACTTTACTTATTCCTTATTTAAAGTTTGTTGAACTGAGTGCAGAGGTGGCTGTACTTGAGTGAAGCAGCTGAGATCGATGGGTTGCCTTCCATCTTCATAAGGTTTCTTATCTGGTGTATGAACCTGTGGCTTCTTGCTAAGCTTGATTCTGCTGTCTGGTTCCGGTATGGCTTCTGTATGAAGCTGCTGGTGTTTAGAGGTCAAGCAGAAAGCTAGGTTGCTAGTCATAAAACTTCCTCGCATGCTTGCAGATGCAAAGTTTGGATTGACTTAATATTTGTCTGTGTCTGCAAATCTCCATCAAACTCTTCCATACACAAGTGAAATGCTTGATACTGGATTTATTCTTTTGCTATAGGCTCTTAAGCTTATCTGTCTTGCAAAAGTAATTTGTTAAACAATGCCTTTTCAATTTAACAGCTTCAAATATGTTCAGTCCTGCAAGTATTGGGCAACCTAGGAAGACTACTCTGTCTCCTGCTCAGCTGGATCCTTTTTATACTCAGGGTGATTCCCTGACTTCAGAAGATCAACTAGATGACACATGGGTAACTGTATTTGGGTAAGTTGGTTTCCAAAGTATAACATTCACTGCTTCAAAAATGGCATTAACACACTGGTCTCTTGGATTTCTCAAATCCCTTTGTAGGGTTGTATTTTAGCACCAGAATTCTTAAACTACTCATAATTTCTTGAGTATTTTTTTGTCTTGCAGATTTCCTCAAGCATCAGCTTCATATATTCTTCTACAGTTTGCTCAGTACGGAAACATATTGAAGCATGTGGTATGTCTTAGTTTGATACTTATTTCTGAAAACATTCTGGCTCATTCTTTAAAAGGCTAACTCTCACATAATCTCATGCAGATGTCCAACACAGGAAACTGGATGCATATTCGATATCAGTCTAAGCTTCAAGCTCGGAAAGCCTTAAGCAAAGATGGAAGAATCTTTGGTGAATCTATCATGATTGGTGTAAAGCCATGTATAGATAAAGTAAGTTAACAGCTCCCCTTAAATATAAGGCGCTCTGCTTTTGGGCTTCCTCTTTATTTGCCTGGACTGCTTTAATTTTTTTCTTTTTGAATTGCAAAGCATAGGTAGTTCACTTATATAGGTAAAGGTTATACTTTACATGAGTTTTTCTTAAGTATTTGACAAAATTTCCTGCTGAGAAGGATCATTGAGAAATCTGTGCTTCTTGGAAGTTAAAATGCACAGAATTATATTGCTGTACAAGAGATGAAGTGAAACCCTAATGTATGAGAGCAAAGAATTTCCCAGACTGGAGTGTGTGGGTTTTTTAGGGACTGCAATAGATATGTGCTGGTAGATTAAGACCACTATTGCTCCTAGTTGTCCCTCTTCTTTTTTTTTTTAATGTGAGTATCTGATACTGGCTTTTCAGTTTATCTTAGTACATAAGACTGAAAACTTGTTAGCAAGACAGTCCTGATCATATTCTCCCACTTGCCCTCACAGAAACACACCCCTTATAAGTAATGGCTGGGGTAGGTGTGGCTGTATTCCAGTCTAATTTTATCATGAGCTATTAGTTTCTAGGCATTGACAATGCCCTGACCACTAATTCTTGCAGCACTTTGCATTGGGTACTGTACGTTAGCTTAAGCAAATGACAGTCATTCTTTGATAGTTCAGAGGTTATTTTTAAGGATATGTGATGTTAGCATCAGTAATGTGAGCTTTCAAGTGTAAACGATTCTGAGAAGGCAGCCCTAGAAATTTGAGCTTGCAATTACTTCAATTGTTATAAGTTCAAAACCTTGCTTATAGTGACTAAAATTCAGAAATAAATGTACTTCAGTGCCCCTTTCTTCTCTGGGCTTCAGATGGTAGAGCTTCCAGTCTCACCTTATTTACTGTTTTGGTGTCCAGATTTTATAAATGACTGAATTGCCTATAGGCTGAAACTCTAGAAGTAATTAGCTAAGACCTTTAATTGTCAGGCATCTGATCTTTGTTGCTTTTGAATTCTTGTTATGTCTTTTGTAGATAGTGTCTGCTTTTTGGAGGCAAGGAGACTTCTACAGATTAATCCATTGAGGGTTTGGCATTAGCCTGTAAAACTCTTTGTTGCAATTGAAAACTAAATGTGATGGATAGGACCTATTTTGGATAGCTTGTCTTGTGCCAGACGTGATTCTGAATTTCCACCGTCTTTAGGCTGGTTGAATGCTGTGCTCCACTGGAGTCTAAATGCAGCAAATCAGGTCTCCCCAGGCTGGTTGTCATTTCCCATCCATCAAGTCACTTGCTGCCTCTTCCATTCTACATGCATTCCTTTCTAAACCTAAGCTTACAAAATGGAACCTTCTGATTCCTTTCCTAGCATTTGATAAGGTGACTGAGTGAAATTCCTTGGCACATTGAGTCTGTGCAAAAAGCAGCAAGTTGGTAAGGGCTTGGACACTGTCCTGTATGGAATGGGTAAAATACTTTAGACATGTTTAGAAAGAGGATGCTATGCTACTTAGTCCAGCTGGGCCTGAAAGAAGTTACTACTTGAAGTTTGTTGTGAGTCTTAGAAACTGTTTCAAACTTGGCTGACATTTAGTACGTACAGTGAATAGATTACAAGCTTCTGCTGCTTTGCAATGGCATCATCTGACATATAATGATTGCAGCAAGGAAAATGCTTTGTGATAATGTGTACTTGTGTGCTCTGTACTGACAGGTAATTTACCTGTGGTCTTTGCTTACTTTGAGCTGTGAACATACTTTTATCAAACAATTCTAGATAATGCTAGATAATTTTAGCATTTGTTTACATTATATTAAACTTCTTTTAAAGAGTGTGATGGAAAACTTTGAAAGAAGCTCTGCATCCTCAATGTCTTCAGTTTTCACTCCACCTGCAAAATCCGTTGGCACACCAGTACAACCCGCAAATAATACTACGAGGATTTCTACAATGAGACCTCTTGCAACAGCATACAAAGCTTCCACTAGTGACTATCAGGTATTTTAGGGGAAACAGAGGCATGTGTTTCTTTGTGTTATCTCCCCTTAGTTGTATGAGGCTGTATGCATGTTAACTTCAATGTGACCTTAGCCTTTATCTTCTCCTGTCATTTCTTTAAAGATGTGGTTCAAGTACAAACTCAGTCTGTTCAGGCTCTAAAATAATAATAACTAAAAAATTAATAACTTGTCACTTTTCCAGAGGGCTTGTTCTGAAAATCTTTCAAACATATTTTGTCAAAATATAGTAGCATTTAGGAAATGAAAAGAAAAACTGGTTAGTATAAAAAGAATTAACTACATGTTGACTGATTCTCTTTATTTTCTCTCTCCTTCTTTCCCCCTGCCTTCCAGGTGGTGTCTGACAGACAAACTCCTAGGAAAGATGAAAGTATTGTGTCTAAGGCAATGGAATATGTATTTGGCTGGTAATATACAAGAGGAAGTAACACACTAAGTTGGTCAGGGTTTGAAATAGGCTACTGACATCCGTGGTTAGTTGTATAACTACTGGTGGCAGTATTTTAACTTACATCTCACCTTTTATGCCTTCAGTTGATTCAGCAGACATGTAGCTTGCACTTTAAATGATGGCAATGTACACACGGTTTTAAAAACTGAGTAAGTGTAAATACAAGTGTTTTTCCCATTTGTGCTCCGATTGCATGATTGTAGAAAAATATCAGCACTGACTTTTCCTCTGTAATTACTTGGCGAATTACTTCCCAGTATGTTTTAAATGTTAAAAATGGCAGCTTTATTTACTGATGCCTTTAACTTTATTAGGTTTTTTTGCCTGAAAACATGGTAGGCTACTTGCAGGAAGAACACTAGGCACAACTGGCTCCCAGGGACAGGGACTGTTCTTAGTATATGCGATTTTAATTTTTTTATTAGGATTCACTGCTGTTTTATAACTATCTCTCTGGCATTGTGTTCTAAATGTTGTAGCAACCGTTTAACTTCTTGTTTTATTAATAAAGCTAAATAAAGTTAAGTTTTTCTTAGGTTGTTCTTAAAACAAGTGTGAGTTCTGTTAGGAAAACCTATTTGCAGTACTCTTAACTGTTAAATATGATGCTGCCTAATGCTTGTTAACGTGTTACCAGCAGAGCAGATGCTGCTGATGTTTACTGAAGTAGCACCAACCAGCGTTAAAACTAGCAAATGTATAAATGTTGTCTCTGTGGGTATTTTATTGCAGTGTGCACTTAACAGGTAACAAACCGTAGTATTCTAAGCTATAAAATGTTGAGTTGAAATAGCTGAATAGAAAAACACAATGTGTCAGTGACTGGAGCTGCTTTCATTTCAAGACTCTTCGAAGAAAATTTTCTCCAAAGTATTGGCTGAATGATGATTTTTTTTTTAATTGAACTTCTTCCCCTTGAGGTTTTCTTCTGGAGGTGAGCCTCTCAAGTAATGATGTGTGTCATGTAAGCTTATAGTCTTCTAGATAAAGGCCTCTCTTACCTGGGAGAGAGCAGTTTTTTCTCTAATGCTTGGGAAACTACATGTAAGTATTACTTTAATTTCATAGCTGTGTTAGTGTGGGTCACATCAGTATTTTAGTTTGCGTCAGTAGTGTGTTTGTGAGGTCAATATCCAGTCATACCTATTTCCATACTTTGCTTCACATTGCAGTGTGGTCTCATAGTTCTTCAGCTGCACTTCTCTGATAAAATTAAATTGACAGATTAGTCGAGCAGCATGCTTAATGTTCCTCAGATGCTAATGGGCATCCAATTTACAGGATTAAGCTAGTGATGGTCCCGAGTAAAACCCCTAAAGCACTTAGTGAGAAGTCAGATTTCTACCTCAGGGCACTTTGTGCTTCACTGTACGCTTTAGAAGTAACCTACCTGTAGGCAGATTCAGAGATTTTTGAGATGCATTTTACTGTATTTGCTGGCTAATGCTTTTGGGATATTGGTTGCTACTCAGCCATTTGCTTTTGATCAAAGGGAGCTGCTCAAACCTAATTGATACCTGAATGTGTTTTCTCATAATACACCTGGCTTTTTGTTGGTGAAAAACACATCACACAGATTACTTCAGAAAGAAAATGGATAGTTCAGCTAAATTCTTGTTTTCTAGTTGCTTTGCAAAATACACTTCTGGTGCGCTTCAGACTTGTTATGATGTATGTAGGACTTAGTTTAGTGAAGTGATGAAGAATAAGATAGAACTCTGTTCAAGTAAGTCTGAAGCTAAATACATAAGGAAGGAGTTGGAGCCAAAGTCAGTAGATTGGCTTGACCTGTTTTACCAATAAGTACCATATTTGGAACTGTGCTAAGTTTTGTTTTTTCCCAGTTGTTTATGTTAATTTCTTCTTTCTCATAGCTTTAGGAATGATTTTACTAATAGGTTGCTGCAGCTTCCTGTAGGTTAAAAGCACTTGGGAGTAGTGGATGTTGTTTACTTTGCAAATAGGAGGAGAAGAGTTTAGAACACATAAATCTGTGTGCTTCTGGACAGTAGCATTAAGAAAGTATGTTCACGTGGCTTCTGCTGGTAAAGACTGTTGTTAAGACTTACTATGTTGTCTTAGTGTTGACCACTAGTTAAACCGTGGCGTCAATGATTTGGGCTTATTACGCGTGCAGTCCCACACTGCACGAACCACCGTGCAACTTTGTTGCAACAACGTGTTCCTGATAATACCATTATTATGAGTGTACAGAGGCCATGTGTGAAAGGGCGGAGGATATTGAGAACTACATGTGTGAAGCATCTCTGAAACACTTGGAAGGTCTTCAAGAAACCTTTTCAAGGCTAGCTACTGTGATTTAGGTGGCATTGCGTTTAAAAATCCAATTCTTCCTGTTTTGTTAACTGTCTACCTGCTGCTTTGCAATAAGGAAGGCTTCTCTTCTAGCTGTAACTAGATGTGCTTTACATTAAAACCAAAGTTACGGACTTCAGCTAGTGATGTGTAACAAACCAGAAGTAAGTTTCATAAGTATCAATTGTATGGGGTTTCTTGTAAGACTACAAACTACATTTTTCACAGGATTATGGCTTTAGTTTAAAATAAAACTGTCATGAATACTTACTCTTCTGTTGTCTGCCTCAATCACAAGCATGTTACTTGGGAATCTAATTCACTTACCTTAGTATATGGATGTGCATGCTTTTAAATTCTATAAGGGGTTTGTTGTATTGTTTCAATGCTAATTTCACTACAATTTTAACACTTTTGTGGTAAAGACTTTTATAACTTGGAGATAGTGTGTATTTTTGTCCTCCTCTACCATCCCTCCTCAATGGAGCTTTCTAGTAACTTGAGTGATATTTATTTGGCTAATCCATGTATACTAACATAAAATGAAAATCAAATGTTAGAGTACATGATGCCTGCCTCTCAAGTTGTGGGCATCTACCTCCACCGTGTGGCAGTTCTGAAGAACTTTAATGAGAGGTTTAACTGGTATTGAATGGAATATGGAGTCTTAATTATGCTTTAGTTAGAAAGTGCATAAACAGTTAGGAAGTGCATAAACAGTACTGTGAGAAAATAGCAGTGCTCAAATGTTATAGTTGAAGTGTTTTCATAGTAAAGGACAAAGATGAGTTTAAAATATCTTAATTTGGGAACAATTCAGACTTCTAAATATTGCTTCAATGAAATGCTTCTTAAACTCTATTTAAAATCTTACTAGTATTCACTCATGTCCATTTTGAGATGGATAAATTGACCAAATAATATTTTAGCAGAATATACCATGAAATCCATTTTGTATGAACACAATTGCCTTTTCTGATAATCTGATATGTGTAAAAATAAAGACTTGCATCAGTTGTCTTTAATTTGACTGCAGATGACTAGACCACAGATGAGTTTGCAAAAATGTACTAGTTAAGTATGTTTGGAAATAGTAAGGTGTTCAGTTGAGTGTGTGGAAACAAACTAAACTGGCTTACAAACAACTTGGAATCAGGAGCTGGCTTACTGAATTTCATACTGAAGGTGCAAAGACTCTGGAATAAACATTCTAGATCTTGAGTAAAAACATCAGTCCTCAGGCAAATTGATGGCTTTGTGGTAAAATACTTTTTTTTTAATTGTTTGGACCAGAGTAAAAGGTGTTCTTTTGATGTGGTATGTGTCTCGGTAAGTATCGAAGTGCAAACAGTACTGACGGGTGAACTTCTGTTAGTGCTTATAAATTAGGGTTCAGTTGGTGAAGTTACCTTTAAAAATGAATGCATAATTAATAATTTTGTAAAATGTTTTTGGCCTTCTATTAAGGAATCCTTTGACTCAAGTATGTTTTTGTGTAATGCATATAAACTGTGCTTCTGTCAACAGTCACATTTTCCACTTTTCTGCAAGTAAAACACATCTTGAAATTAAGAGCACCTCTGAAGCTGTAAATTCTTATATCCTATATAATATCATCAAATACCTTGATTCAAGGTCCTCAGTTTTGTAAGTGAACTTCCAGCTTAAAGAGTTTATTGCTGATGTAAGCAGATGCAGCTGAAGTGACCCCAGAATTCTGATCTCTGTAGATGAAGTGCTGGGTTTTGTTCATGAGTCATTTTGTGCATGAAGATGGAGACTCTCCTTACTTTCATGCTGTTTCTAATAAGAATTGCTCTGAACAGTCATTGTTTTATTTTCCTCAATTGTTTATTGCATCAGATTTTGGTATAGCTTACTGCAAAAATCAGTTTATGACCATATCCTTTATTGTAGGAGTGAATTGAATTTTCAGTATGAAGAGAACTTTTCAATTTTTTTCCTTTCTGTTGTGTATGTCAGCCACCTAATTAACATCTTGTTTAGCTGCCTTTGGAGTCCTGTGTGTTCTGTGAGAATCTGTCCCTTGCTGCAGAATTAAGGTCCCAAAAAATGCTGTTGTCTTTTTCAAGGATCTTTCAAGCCCCTGGTGTTAAGGAGGTAACCTTGAATACATGAAGCAAGGATAACCTGACAAATGGATGTCTGTGGAGATCTGGGAAGTGATACTTCTGTAGTGTGGATTATCCAGTAGTTATTAATAGACTGTTTGTTTTGAAACTTGAAGGTAGTCCAAAATTGGTTATCTGATAAAGTGCTGTAGCTGAGACTTTTAGTTGGAACCCAGACTCGGGGAGGGTTTTTGAGTGCTAGGTTGCTAACTGGTGGTTGTTCTGCCAAAGCTCCTGTCTTTTCCTGGCAACTAAACATATAGCTAGCTTGAAAGAATCATGGTTGTAACACTAGCTGTCATGACATAAAGCACTGTAAAATGAAATTAAGCTGTTTAGATCTTTTAATCAATGAATAATATACATTATTCATTGCACTAGTGTCAGTTTCTAGTTACCTGCACAAAAATGCTCAGCAATCCAAATTACAATGGAAGTCAGACCTTGCTTCCATACAGTCATGAAACTTCACCGTTATTTAAAAAGATAAAGTCTTTTCTGCAAAGTAACCAACTTTTCTTTCACAGCATGCTTTCTCAGCTGGCACGTAGTTTGACTTACTGGGCTTTCTCACTGTGTGCTCTTAAATCAGATTTTCAAACTTTAAAAAGCTGTTTGCTGTGTAGGATTGCACCAGTGGATAAGATCATGCTGCTTAGTGGAATTGAGCGAAGGCCTACATTATTTTCCAAGCATGCAATATGACAGCATGTAGTATCACATTTCAGTAGA